GGGGGGGGGGGGGGGGGGTATAGGTCAGAATTTAGTAGAAAAGTGGAAAAGGAATGTGAGCTACATTAAGTTAACATAGAGGTAACAAAGACGATGTGTTTTTGCCTGTTAGATTTGTATTCTTCTTTTGGGTGAAATCTCATACTTTATTTTTGTCGAATATAGGTGAAGTATGTAGTCTTAGGTCTCTGATATGACTGAAACAAACTCACATGTGCTTGTTCCACCTTGTGCGTTCTGCTGATATGTAATGACAGCACATTAAGAGCATGTGTTGAGGTCTTTTGGTGTGTTTTGCTCTGAGAGCTCACAGAGGGAAGAAATCAACTGTCTTCTCTGGATCTGACTGTGTATCAGGCTGAATCCTGTGTTTCAATGCACATTAAACAGATTCCAATATTTTAAGAGCACTGCTGTCTCTGTCTTTTGTGCTCGATTTGTGTCTGTAGGTTCTTATAAACCTTAAGGTCCTTGCACACTGAGTCCGACATTTTCGGAGAACGTGATTGACACAACGTGAGGTCGTATTTATTTTTTTAACGTGCGAAAATTTCGGACTCCGTGTGCAATGACCTTTATAATACATGTCTTCAGTAATTGTATCAGCTATACCGTAAATATTCATTGTAAATATGAAATTCTACAGGGGACATTCTACCAGAAACGTACATTTCCACTTGTAAAAATCTTGGGTGAAAAAAACATCTTATTCTTAAATTGAACGTTGAGTCATATGGAGGCTTATGTTTATCTATATGAAACACATATCATGCCATCTCAGCATGTTTTTATGATTGAAATAAATTTTTATACGCATTTCACCCCTAAAATGTCAGGCCCTGTCACAGACAAATTTGAATTTGTATATGAATTTCTTTGATACAAATAGCATTTTCTTATTGGTCACGTGTCCCTGATTGTAACATGGTTTTGTAATTTCTATAAGAAATATAAGCAACTTTTCGGTCAACTGTAGTACACAAAATCACAGAATACCCCGCCATGCTCTCATATAGTTGTAAAAAAAACTCATTCCTATTTTAAATTATTATTATAATTTTAATGTTAATGTAATATTAGACTATGGTAAAGTTCAGCCAAGGACATATAATAAGGGCCTAATTCATTAGTGTATGACTGACAAATTAATAAAATAATTTCATTTTATTTCAATATAAAAACATATTTCAATTAATTAAAATTCTATTTAAAAATAACATGGCCAGATACAATAACAATAAACAACTAGAATTGCACAATGGCACAAACACAGACAGGAGTGAAAACAAAATTGTAATGGTACTACTAATATGGTAAAATTAATTTAACAATAACAATTACCAACTAGAATGGCACAAACTCAGACAGGATTGAAAACAATAACCCCGTGTTGTGCTACGCGTACACCGGTGTAATAAATATAAATATAACTTCATAATATATAAAGTATATTTTACTATGATACAGCAAACGTATAGACATTTAACTGAATAGCACAAAGTAAAGTAACTGTGGTACCACATAATATTACGGCTCAGTAATAACAGGGCAATACTATGGTAATATCTGCATTATTACTTAGGAAATTACATGGTAATAACGGAAATTGCATGTAATTTCCTAGGTAATAATGTAGATATTACCATGGTATCTGTATGAATTGGAATACTTACAGTCATCATTACTCAAAGCTTATATAGATGACAATTATATCTATATATGAAGAGTTTATTTGCAAAAGCAGATAACTCAGTTTTTTTTAAATGTTCAAAAATCATGTTTTTTATTATGTAATCATGTTTTGATTGTGTTTTATTGTGTTAGTTAGCTGTAATTATTAGTTATTTTATAACTTAATCAAAATAACCCAACTAAAGTTTGATTGCGATTAATTGGAATGCACAATGAAAAAACATGATTTCAGAGAATTGTTAAAAATTTAGTTATCTGTTTTTGCAAATAAACTCTTCATATGTATTGAAATATAATTAATATACAAAGTGCAGTGCTACATAGGCCTAGGTAAAAGGCCTATTCAAAAAAACAGTCGATGAGCATAAAAAGCTTCAGATTTACAGTGTAATGTCTATTTATTCAAATAATGTTTTACTATGGCATGCATTAAATACATATTATATGCAATAAAGGTAATAAAAAACAACAATGCCATTCATTTGTAAGACCGTGTCACAGGACTGTCGGCCATTTTAAACTGCCATTACTCAGCCTGCTAGCATGCTAGCATAAAAACTGTTAACATGCAATCAAGGAATTTCAGTAACTTTTTTAGACATGTTTTGGATTTAAAAGATTTTCATTATTTTCTGGGCTGTTTTACCGTGACAGGGCCTGACCTTTTAGCTCGTCCTCCTCAAAAAAAAAACATACAAAAACAAGCTTAAAATCATACAATTCAATGACAGAACTCACCCTTGATCTGTGTCAGCTTCACCTCAGTCAAATTATGTCACTTCCTTTGAGTCATACCTATAAAGGCACATTACACACATTTTATGTTGAGTTTTATGTAAACATGACAGGGCTGACCGAAAACATGGGGACAGTTATAAAATAGTATTTATTTGTAGAATGTATGTATAATTCCATGTTTTTAATCAGTTGATGTGAATGATAACAACTTAAAATTGTTATTGAATTAGCTTTTTTACCTAAATAACAAAACTATGAAAGCTGTTGGTCCAATTTGGCTGAGGACAAGGACAAGGACAGTATTTGTAATAAATTAAAAAAATATCTGAGAACCTAATGAATGACATATTGCTTTACAGAACAACTCACAGAAATCAACCATCAGTCAGTTTTAGATCTTTTTTGGATGTAATACATTTTATTCACTGTAACAAGTCAATGACAGATAAGTACATTTCTGGTAGAATGTCCCATAGGCATTTTACTGAAGTATATTGTTTCGTATAGTAGTATCATTACACCAGTTGGTAGTCTTCATGAATGAGTCACTGAATCATTAAATCAATGAATTCAAACACACTGCTATGTTCAGAAACAAATCCAGCCACTGTTTATAAATGAGTCATTGAATAATTCACTCAACCGATTTGTGCTAAACGCACTGGAACAAAATAAGTTGCTGAATTCAGAACAATATACTGGCATACTACTCTTATTTTTATAATATGTTTGTATGACAGCAATAGTCGTAGTAGTTGTATACTAGCGTGCGGTTATGAATTCAGCAAGTGACTGTTTAGGAGTGAGTCATTTAATTTACTCAACCGCCACACTGATTCATTCAAGAAAAGATTCATTGAATCATTTACTCAAGTGATTCATTCAAACATACTGATTCATTCAGGAACAAATCAAGTGACTGTCTTTATGCCGAGTCATTGAATTGTTCACTTAACCGATTCATCCAAACACACTGATTCATTCAGGAACAAATAAAAAAAACTTTATGACTGAGTCACTGAATCATACTCAACCAGTTTGTTCAAAAACACTGATTCATTCAGGAATGAGTCCCCAACACACCACTGTTTGTTGCTCGGAGTCACGGTAAATAATTCTTCTGTGGCTTTGTTTGCAAAACAATGTTATTGGCGACAGTGTACCTAAAATGTTGGTTAATCAACATTAACATCATGTTTATTGAACTGCTGAATAAAAAGAAATATCTTGTCGATACATCACAGTCATGATGATATTTGATACAACAGAATTCTCTGTCATGTGATATTTTGTAAACATACTATTATACTACAATACACTATATATAAATTGAAGTCTTTTAATATCATATAAATATGATTATTCAGTGGTGCTAGGTGATCCTAACCACATCCTCAGCATATAAACAATTCTACGTTCACATACTTTGGGGTGTGTTGTCTCAGAGCATTATAACTGTATTAAAACAGTTATATAACTGACTGACATAACAATAAAAGAATTAAAAATAATGATGATTTGGACCATCCTTTCTCAAACCTTCCCAAAGGGCTCCTGAAACAATGACTGTTTCATTTTGTTAATAATATCAGGTGAACTTAATACATTTTTAATGTAACAATTATTCTTGCTCTTTTGTGGTTTGTACTGAGTAGATTGTGACTGTGGTGAACGTGGTCTTATCTTGAGAGGTGTCCTGTGGTCATTGTGTCAAGTTACTTACAGTAATACAGTTAGAACCTGAACAAAGCTGAGCAAACATGTAGTTAATGGAATACTTCCATTATTTACTCACCTTCACGTCGATCGTTCCAAACCTGTACTACTTTTACTCTTCTGTGGAACAACAACAACAACACAATTATGTTATATTATTTATAGACGGTTTAGACGTTGTGCTTTCACTCTTTAAACACTAGAGGGAGACAAATATTTAAATGCGTTGAAAGAATAATACAGCTGCTATCCTCAATTCAGCCACAAAAATATGGTAGGCTGTGTGTGTGTGTGTGTGTGTGTGGGGTTGTGATTCTGTACAATATTATTTTGGTTAGGTTCAACTATTTTTGATCAATAGTCATTCATCTTAAAAACAACAACAAAAGCAATAGAAATGCATGGCGTGTCCACGTGCGTTTTTAAGGGAATAAAAATTAGCATATCTATATTTTAGAAATGAGATAGTTTCTCCTTCTTGTTGCTGTTATAATATGTGACCCTGGGCCATAAAACCAGTCATAAGTAGCACGGGTATATTTGTAGCAATAGCCAACAATACATCGTATGGGTCAAAATGATCGATTTTTCTTTTATGCCAAAAATCACTAGGATATTAAGTAAAGATCATGTTCCATGAAGGTATTTTGTAAACTTCCTACCGTAAATATATCAAACCTTAATTTTTGATTAGTAATATGCACTGTATTACTAAGAAC